CCTTCATCTAAAGTGAGAATAGCAGCACAACTGGAAAAGCGTAATCGATGTCACTGAATTGTGCATGTAGAAATTTTTGAAACTGTGTTATTTTTGGCTATGTTGATTTTCACCCAAAAAAAAAAAAAGGTCGAGAAGGGAGAGGGTTGACATGTCATGGTGTTGTTAACGAATGTCATAAAACAATGTGTACTGACTGTTTAATGAGAAACTATTTGTTCTGTAAACCTTCACCTGAAGTGCAATAAAAAACAAAGAATAGAAAGAAGATTCATTAAGGATACAGAGTTTCTGAGTGTAACGAACCAACTCTACCTGACATTTACAGTATCTCTCACTCAACAACAGCAGAATATACACTGCACATGGAACATTCACCAAGACAGACCATATTCTGGATCATGAGGAAAATTAAAAAAGATTCTGAATGGGATGAAAACGAAACGTGAAATATCAAAATTTGTAAAATGCAGTTAAAACTGTGCACAGAGGGCAATTTTATATCTTTAAATACATACAGTAGAAAATAAGAAGGATCTAAACTGAATTATCTTGGTTTCTACCTTAATACGCTAGTAAAAAAGAGCAAACTAAACTCAAAGAAGGAAGGACATAATGAATATAAGAGTGGCAATCAATGAAATAGAAAAACAACAAATAGAGGAAATTGATGGAACCCAAAGCTGGTGTTTTTGAAAAGACACTAAAATTGTTAACCTCTAGGTAGGTTAATCAAGAAAAAAAATATTGAAATTACCAACATCAGAAAGGACATCACAACAGATCCGAGAAACAAAAAAATTATAACAGAGCATTATGCACAAATTTACACCAATAAATTTGACTACTTAAATGAAATGGACAAATATCTTGAAACACAAAACTTAACAAAACAAATCCAAGGAGAAATAGAAAATCAAAATAATCCTGTATTTATTAAATAAACTGAATCTATTTAAACAAACAAACAAACAAAAACCTAAGCAATAGAAAAGTCCAGGCTCATGGCTTCAGATATAAAATTTCACGTTAGAAATACAGTCGTCCCTTGGTATCCGCGGGGGACTGGTTCCAGGACACCTCGTGGATACCATAATTCACCGGATGCTCAAATCCCTTATATAAAATGGCCTAGTATTTGCATATATCCTACACAAATCCTCCGGTATACTTTAAATCACCTCTAGATTACTTATAATACCTAATACAATGTAAGTACTATGTAAATAGCTATTTTACTGTATTGTTCAGGAAATAATGACAACACCCAAGGCAAACAATGCTCAAACGAGTGTTGGAGACTGAAGATCTGTGAAATGGTAGGAGGCTACAGCAGGGTATGCCTACACATCAATTCATTCAAGAGGATTCAGCATAGTGCTTGGCACATGGCAAACTTGAATTTTGCTTTCTAAACTTTTTTTTCCCCGAATATTTTCAATCTACAGTTGGTTGAATCCAAGCATGCAGAACCCTCGGATATGAAGGGTCGACTATAATATCTATCCTACGAACATTCTTTGAAAAAACAGAGAAGGTGGGAACACTTCCCAACCTCACTTTCTACGAGGTCAGTCTTACACTCTGATACTAAAACAAGACACAGGTATAACAAGGAAAGAAATTAACAGATAAACATTGCTCCTGAACACTGAGGTAAAAATCCTTTTAAATATTAGCAAATCCAATACAACAGTATATAAAATGGGTAATATACCATGATTAAATGAGGTTTCCACCACCCGTCTGTTGGTTTGACATACTTTGGTGGCTTGTTTGTTGCTATAATGCTGGAAGCTATGCCAACAGCATTTCAAATACCAGCAGGGTCACCCATGGTGGAAAGGCTTCAGCGGAGTTTCCAGACTAAGACAAATGAGGAAGAAAGGCCTGGTGATCTACTTCCAAAAATTAGTCAATGAAACCCTATGGATCACAACAGAATATTGTCTGATATAGTACTGGAAAATGAGCCCCCTAGGTTGGAAGGCACTCAAAACACACAGTGGCCACAACAATGGGCTCAAGCATACCAACGATCAATAACATGGTGCAGAAATGAGCAATGTTTCATTCTCTCGTGCATGGGGTCATCATGAGTTGGGGGCCAACTAGATGGCAGCTAACATCATCAAGGGAAATATATTCATTCATAATTGGTAGCTATACAATATTATGTTAAATTTTTTGGGAATAATTTAGTTATGTGGTTAGAAATGGTGGTTTCAACATACTTCTTTACTAAATTGACAAAAAGGAACAAAATAGTTATAATCACACAGGTACAGAAGAGGAGGAAGATCCTAGCAGAGATGAAATGTCAACAGAATTTTGAAAGCCAGAAGGCATATAGACAAGTGTTAAATGATGCACCAGATTTGATATATCTCAGAAGGTTCAGGAATAATAAGAGGTATTGGCTAATACAAATTAGTAGGGGCAAAAGCAGGATTGGTAGAAAGGCCATAATACTACCAGATCTCCACGCTCACCCATTAAAGTCAAATGACTACCCCTTCTAAAAAATTCTGGGAAGTAAGGTAACTAGGAATATACAGGACTGAGGGAACAGGAGATCCAACATAAGAGACAGATTGAGAGAACTCCTAAGCAGGCCATATTGGAGTAGGAAAACAAGGCTCCCATAGTGACAGTGGCAAGAAAAAATTGGAACTGATCAATTGCCTGATGCGTTTGAACTTACTGAGTAGTTTTAGGGTTCTGCTTGAAAGATGGGAAAAGAACTAGTGATAGGTATGTAGAAAACTAAGGGAAAGAAAAACAAAACATTATTAACTCCAGGAAAAGCAAACCAAAAAAAAGTACATGAGAAAGAATGTAATCATTATACAATATGTACATACATACATGTGTGTGCAGGATATACACTTGCATTATACACTATGTGGCTCTGCTGGGAATACTGACACAGTTATAGTCATGCAAACACTGAATGATGATTCCAGCAGAAACTGTGATATATCCACATTGGAAGGATGGGAGAAGGAAAGTGTCTTTTGTGGGTAGCATATGAGAGCTAAATCCCTAAATGTCTGAAACTGAAAAATTAAGAAATAGCATTATAAGCGTATGAAACAGAAACATAGAGGTGAAACCAAAGAATAGCTAAAATAATTAAAAGTCATGGCCTCTGGGTAGAGGGCAGTTGTTTTGTCAATATAGCCTTATAGTATTAGTTTAACAAAGTACATGTATTGAATTTGATAAACATTTAATTAAAAATATACATGATAAACCGACTAAAAGTACATGGAATATGTTAATACATATTAAAATTTATCTGAAATAAATGGCAGAGGAAAATGCAGGATATACACATACAGTGATTACAGTTATATGAAACACATGTATGTACACTGATACGGACCAGAATAAGAAACCGATAATAATATTGGATTTTGACGTCTTTTTACATAAGACATTTATCAACAAATACATTGTTAAAAATTTTAAATAAAATTGATTAACATTACAAAAAGAGACAACCACCAGACTTTAACTATCTCTTAGTGAGACGAAAGAGGAAGTATGTATTACTACCCATAACGTATTATTGCCAAAAAAGAAGTGACTCTGATCAAGCCACTAGATCCAACTAGCAGTTTGTAAGAAATACTGGAGCCAATGAAACTACATCACAGGGATGCAACCTGCAAAATCCATAATAAAGGAAATTCTATACCACAAATAACATGATTTCATAAACAGTTTAACTATAAGAAAGGAAAAAGGGAAAACGATAGATTAACAGAGACTTGAGACACAGCGAACTAATGTAACATAACATGTAGATGGATCTTGTTAGGATCCCGATTCAAACTATTTAAAAAAACAGCTACTGTGCTTGTGAGGAAATGAGGAAATTTTGAATATTACCTACATATTTGATGATATTATGGAATTATTGTTAATTTTTAAGTGTAATAATGTTTAAAATGTCCTTATCTTTAAACAATACTTCCTAAACTATTTATGGAAAGAATAATATGATGTCTAGGAATTGCTCCAAAATAATTTGAAGATAAGGATAAAACAAGACTGGCCATGTGTTAGTAACTGTTGAAACTGAAAAATGGGCATGTGGAGGTTTATCATACTATTCTCTCTACCTATATATATATATATATGTTTAAAATTTTTTACAATAAAAGTTTGTAAAGAAATTGAAATCCTGTATGGATTTAAGTAATAGTTTTAAAATATTTTTCTACTCTACATATACCACAATCATAGTATCACTTTGGTGATCATTCAAGAATATCAACACTTATGTACCTAATTATATTAATAGAGCCTAAAAACCAAAAAACCAAATCCACTGCCATCGCGTCAATTCCAACTAATAGCGACCCTATAGGACAGGTAGAATTGCCCCATAGGGTTTCCAAGGCTAGAAATCTTTACGGAAGCCGACTGCCACATCTTTCTCCCATGGAGCAGCTGATAGGTTTGAACTGCCGACCTTTCAGTTAGCAGCCAAGTGCTTAACCGCTCTGCCACCAGGACTCCTTAAAAATAGGCAACTGAGGATTTTTAAGTTGCGTAAGATACTGCTAGTAGGGAAAAGCAACTTTAACTAGAAATCTGTGGTTGATTGCAACACTCTACTCTTGAAATACCGAAATATATTCATGAACCTGTGAAAGTTATATTATCATATAAATGAAATCATAAATAAAAACAAATTGGTTACCTCTCTCAATTTCTCCCTCTCACGTTCCCTCTCAGCAATACGTTTTCGCCTCTCTTCTTCTTCCTTAAGAGCATTTTGTGTTTCTGTCCTTAGCTTATCATCTTTAAGAATCTTTCGAATTTTCTTTCTGCCTTTTCCAGGAGACTTGGAATCATCATTTTCATCATCTTCTTCTTCTTCCTCCTCTTCTTCTTCTTCTTTTTCTTCTTCTCCAGAATTACTCTACATTATGTAAATGATTACAAAGTTTTCTAAGTTTATCATCTCATATTCCATTAATTCATATATCAAGCAAGGTAGACGAAAAACATAGTGAAAAGATTCAGAATAATATTTAGCAATCAAGAATGGTATGGATAGAATCAAACATATTAGAAGGCACTTTTTATTCTATATAATTTTGCCTATACAGAAGAAACTCAAACTGCCTAACTTCATTGTGAGAATAAATTTATTCACACATAAGTCATTGCTCAAAATAAAGTGTTTTATCTCTTCAGAAAATAGGCAGAGCACTTCCCATCCATTCTATAGCTCTGAGAATGTAAAATTATGAATTAGAAGAGCTTAAAATTTCAACTAGACTTAGTTAAGGTACAGAAAAAGATGTCCCGTTAATGGTTCTGTATATTTGTACATCAATAAACCAATCTATTACAAGTGCAAATGCAAATACACTAGCAGGATGTAATTAATTAATGAATGAAAAACAGAAGACATACTAGCACATTTACTATCGTCTACTGTACCAGTTATACTTTAAGCACACAGTAAACGGCATTACTACCTTGTTTTCACTGGATGAATCTTCCTGAACCTTAATGCGTCGCCTCTTCTTTTTCTGCTTATAACTCCGCTGATTTTCTTCCAATTCTGCTTTCTTTGCAGACCTGAAAAAATTTAAAATGTAAAATAAAATATTTCATGTTAAGCTTCCTTAAGTGAATTATACACTATTTTTGAGGTACTCTACTTTTGTATCCATCCCTAAAAAAAGAAGAGGGGAAAAAAAGCAAAAAACTTCATGTTGCTTTAAAGAGAACAATCAAGGAAAACCTATCCCTTAATTCTAATCCAATGATAAACATTTTAAGTTATTCAGAGGAGACATTCAGCATAGGAGTAGGAAGATGGATAAAGGGACTTTAGGACTGCTCAAAATCTCTTCTAGTCAGAAACACAAATGGTCAATGTACATATAAAAATATACACTATAAAAATTGCAAAGAAGTAAATTATAGAAGTTGGATAACATTACCTGATAGCAGGACACAGAGATTTAAAAGACTAATAACAACAACTCTTGGTAAGAAAAGTTTTTTTGGGCTTAGAAACGGGTATACAAAGCTACAGTAATCAACACAATGTGACACTAGCATAAGGATACACACACAGATCAAAGGAACAGAATTGAGAGTTCAGGGAAAAAAAAGGAACTCTACATTTATGGTCAACTGATTTCCCACAATGGTACCAAGACAATTCAATGGGGAAAGAACAGTCTTGTCAACAAATGATGCTGAGACTATAGGATATATCCATGCAAAACAATGAAGTTGGACCTTTATATCACACCATATACAAAAACTAACTCAAAAAAGAATCGAAGACCTAAACGTAAGAGCTAAAATTAGCTATGACACCAAAAGCACAAGCAACCAAAAACAAAAAATAAATAAATAAATAAACTGGATTAACATTAAAAACATTTGTACTCGACATGAACAGGCAAATATACAGAAACTAATGTTCATTACTGGTTACCAGGGATGGGAGGGGGGCAGGGAATTCACTCTCTATACAGTAGACGCTTGTAATTTTTGGTGATGGAAAAGGTAACACCAAATCAGGGTGAAGTGTGCACAGCTTGAAGAAAGTAAATGATGTCACTAAAATGTACAAAAAATAGGACCTTTTGGTAAATGCTATGACATACATAATTTTGAAACAACAGCAACAACAACCAAAAAATATACATGTGGGTATATATGTATCTAGACATATGTGTGTACAGGTATGTGAGTATATATATATGTACAGTTACAAATATTTCTTAGATATAGTGAAACACCTTGCGGGATTGGTTTCCTGGGTTTGAGGGATTAGAATCATAGTCCGGTGGGACATCTCAGTCAACTGGCATAATGTAGTTTATAAAGTTTTTGTTCTACGTCCTAGTTTGGTTGAGTAGTGTCTCAAGTCTTAAAAGTTTGCAAGCAGCCATCTAAGATACAACTATGGGTCTCTACTCGTCTGGAGCAAAAGAAAAAGAAGGTAACCAAAGACTCAAAGAAGAAACTGTCTATAGGACTAACAGTCTACACTAACTACAGCCTCATCTGCCCTGACACCAGAAGAACTAGATGGTGCCCACCTACAACCGACCATTCTGACCAGGGCCACAACAGATGGACCCTGATAGAATGGGAGAAAAATATGGAACAGTGCCTATCACATGGATCATTCACAAAAATGTATCATATGCTAGGTCACAAAACAAGTTTCAAAAGATTTATATTATGCAAAGTATATTCTCCAACAACATGGAATGACTAGAAATCAATAAGAGAATGAAAAGCAGAAATTACACAAATATGTGGAAATTAAATTACACTCTATTAAACAACCAGTGGTTCAAACAATAAATCAGAAAATACTTAGAGATAGATAAAAAAGAAAGCACAACATAACAAAACATGGATTCAATGAAGGCAGTGCTCAGAGGGAAATTTACACTGGTAAAACAATATATTAGAAAAGAAGAAAGATCTCAAATAAATAGCCTACTTATGTAACTTAAAGAACTAGAAAAAGAAGAACAAACTAAGCCTAAAGCTACCAGGAGGAAGGAAATAACAAAGATTAGAGCAGAATTTAATGAAATAGAAAAGAGAAAAACAATAGAATCAACAAAAGAAGTTGGTTCTTTGAAAAGATCAATGAAACCAACAAATCTTTAGCTAAGACTGACAAAGAAAAAGAAAGATGAGGCAAATATCTAAAATCAGAAATCAAAGGAAGGAAACTATTACCTACTCTACTGAAATAAAAAAAGATTATAAGAGAATACTATGAACAATTGTATGCCAACAATTTAGATAACCTAGACAAAATGGACAAATTCCTAGAAACACATAAATGGACTCAAGAAGAAACAGAAAATCTCACCAAATACAGAACAGGTAAAGAGACTGAATCAGTAATCAAAAACCTCCCAAAACCTGTACACCAATGTTCATTACAACACTTTTCATAATAGCCAAAAAGTGGAAACAACCGAAATGTCCATCTACAGATGAATAGATAAACAAAATGTGTTATATACATACAATGGAATATAACTCAGGCATAAAGAGAAATGAAGTTCTGATGCATGATACAACATTGACCAAAGCTTGAAAATATTGTGCTGAGCAAAATAAGTCAGTCGCAAAAGGACAAATACTGTATGACCTCATTTATATGAAATAAGCAAATATACAGAAACCAAAAATTATTAGTGGTTACCAGAAGTGGGAGGAAGGGGGCACTTAGTTTATGTTAATGGTGGTGGAATAATTTGGAAAACGATAGGAAGATATGCTTTCACGACTTGAAGAATGTAAACAATGTCACTGAATTATACATGTAGAAATTGTTGAATTAGCATATGTTTTGTTGTGTATATTTTCACTACAATAAAAATAAATAAAAACTCCCAACAAAGAAAAGTTGGGGACCAGATGACTTCACAGGTGAATTCTATAAAATATTTAAAGAAGAATTAACAGTAATCCTTCTCAAAGTCTTAAAAAAAATAGAAGAGGGAACACTTCCTAATTCATTCTATGAGGCCAGTATTACTGATACTAAAGCCAGATAAAGACATCACAAGAAAACTACAGACCAATATCCCTTTTGAATATAGAAGTGAAAATTATCAACAAAATACTAGCAAACTGTATCCAAAAGCATATTAAAAGGATTATATTGTTATTTAATCCCAGGAATGCACAGGTGGTTCAACATTAGAAAATCAATCTTATATACCATATTAATAGAACAAAGGAAAAGAACCTCATAATCATCTCAATTGATAGATGAAAGGCATTTGACAAAACTCAATAGCCTTTCGTGGTAACAACACTCAACAAACTAGGAATAGAAAATCCTCAACATGATAAAAGGCAAAACCCACAAAGGAAAAGAACCTCTTAATCATCTCAATTGATAGATGAAAGGCATTTGACAAAACTCAATAGCCTTTCGTGGTAACAACACTCAACAAACTAGGAATAGAAAATCCTCAACATGATAAAAGGCAAAACCCACAGCTAACAACATATTCAATGGGGAAAAGCGGAAATACTTCCCCCTAAGATAAGGAGCAAGACAAGGATGCTAACTTTTACCATGGTTATTCAACATTGTACTGGAAGTTCTAGCCAGAGCAAACAGGCAACCAAATTGCTAAGAAAAAAGTTAAACTACCTCTATTTGCAGATGACAAGATCCTATATATAGAAAATCCCAAAGAATCCACAAGGAAGCCACCATAGCTAGTAAAAGAATATAGCAAAGTTACAGGGTATAAAACCAACATACACAAATTAGTTGTGTTTCTATACACCAACAAAAAACAATCTGAAAAAGAAATTAAGAAAACAATTCCATTTATAATACCCATAAAAGACTGAAACACATAGGAATAAGTCCTGTTTACTGAGAACTATAAAACCTGAAGAAAAAAATTTCAAAAAGACCTAAATAAACAAAGACATTTCGTATTTATGGATTGGAAAACTTAATACTGTTAAGATGTCAATACTATCCAAGACTATCGATAAATTCAACACAATCCCTATAAAAATTCCAAAAGCCTTTTTGCAGAAGCTTTGCGAAAGCTAAATCTCAAATCCATACGAAAGAGGCCCTAAACAGCCAAAGCTACTGCCGACCTTTTGGTTAGCATCTGAACTCTTAACCACTCCACCACCAGGGCTCCATACTAGTAGTACTACTAAAAACAAAAATTAACATTTTACCGAGCACTTACTATTTGACAGGTAGGCACTGTCATAAGCGTTTTATATGCATCATCTATTTTAATCCCCACAATAATCAATAAGGTAAGTACTATTATTATCCCCATTTTACAGATGAGAAAACTGAAGTACAAAATACACAAATAGAGAGTAGCAGACCCAGGAGATATACTGGGACAGTTTGTCTACACAGCCTGTGCTCTTATATACTACACTACAGCTTTCCCCTATGAAAACCAAAATCTGCAGTCAAGAGTGTTTTTGCACATTAAAACTCCTCCTAGAACACATAATTCAACTATATATAAAATATGTCTATATATACTCTTTTAAATTAATAATTTTAACAATTAGTTTCAAATCAAATTATTAAATATTTTACTTAACTTTATTGTTAACAGTAACCATTCTACAAATAATTTGAAGGCACAGTTATTCAGACTAATTCCTAAAATTTTTTGAAAAGCAATATAATGCTTACCTTGTTCTGGGCCGCTGTTCATCTTCAGATTCACTAACTTCTTCACTAACTCCAGATTCTTGAAAATCAGAATCTTCTGAATCATCACTGCTCACTTGAATTAAAAAAAAAAATAAGTTATCAAAACTCAATAGAAACGCAATTCACTTACTTTATCAGTAACTTCACATTAATACTTACAGTATTGTGAAGAATATCTGTGGTATGTACATTAATGGCTATTATATAATAAAGAATAGACTACAGTTAATGACTTAAAAGCTGTTTATAAATAAAATTCAAATGCTGTCCAAGTATGATTACCCAACTACAATTCTACATTAAGAAGTAGATTAAGTATTCAATTGCATACGGATTGATAAAATGAGGATTTAATTTACCAGTCAATAAAGTAGATAAGCAATTACCAAACATACATTAACCAAAACGATTTCTAAATATTCAAAACAATCAAGGTGGCCTGGTCAAGATGGAACAAGGCAATTACAGTCCTTCCCCTGCTGATTAAAAGTAAAAACTATGGACAGAATACATAAGAAACTACCTAAGGACTCTGGAAAAAAAACAACAGGCAGATTGGGGACTGAAGTCAAAATCTGAGTAATGAACCTTCTAAAAAACAGGGGAAAGGGTTAGAGACTTGCCTTGTTTTTTTGTTTTTTTCCTCCCTCCTTTGATTCCTGGCTTTGACCAGAAAGCAAGCTAAATCCAGAAAACTATGTAAACGATGCTGAAGGCAAAACTCCAGAAGAAACCTCCTCTTTCTTATCCACAAAACCAGGAAAAGGGGGCCCTGCATATCAGGAGAGTATGAGGGAAATTGCCATTTTTTTTTTCTCTCCAATTTCTGTTCCACAACTGCTACTATGCCACAGACACCTAAAACCTTGAGAAAAGATCCATCTTTCTAGCTAGAGGAAACAGAGCAGGGAAAATACAAGATAAGACTGGAACAACTTATGGTACTAGAAATTAAGGAAGTACTCAAAAAATGATGACTGCATGTTGAAAGAACAAAGGAAGGAGCTCCCAACAGCCAAAGCTGGAACAATTTGAGCAATAAAATAATAATATTGGATTATTACTCAAAGAATAAAATAAATATCCATTTAAGTCCATATTAATATAAATAATGGAATAAACAGTGGAGAACACACAGTTCTTCCTTACAATTACTACATGCAAAAGTAATGAAAAAAACAGAAAATCACCATGAGGCAAACAACACAGTAATAACTGATTCAGGCACACTGGACGCTAAAATTGGTTTGCAAAATATGATGAGAAACAGCAATATTTGCACAGTCTCAAAGTATCTGATTATAAGATATTCATTAAATACAAATTTAGAAAATAGTACCTTTTTCTTTACAGTGGAAAAGCCAAGCAGACACAATGTAACCAAGAAATCAAGGTTAACAATACCAGTAATAAGACATACTGACATCATGTACCATTGATATGATGTACCAAGGACACAACATCACTCCTGTGATATCCTGATCAAAATACAAAATAGTCACAATCTAATCATGAGAAAACATTAGGCAAATGCACATGAAGGGACAGTCGAAAAAGTAATCAATACTCTTCAAAAGTGTTAAGATTCATGAAAAGCTAAAGGAATTTGTTACCACCTAAGCAGCCCTATTAAGAAATGCTAAAGGGAGTCCTCCAGAAGGCAAAGAAAGAACACTTGATACTAACTTGAAGTTGTACATACGGGGGAAAAAAATCTTCATTAAAGGAAATGCCCTGACAAGTATAAAAACCAGAGTAAAGGTATCGTTTGTAGGCAAATACAACTGGTATGTCTTAAGTGCTTCATAGATGAAAAAAGCACTAAATAAATGAATAAACTAAGTAAACAAATATAACAATAAATTTAAATTTGAATTAAGCAGTAACTGAGGTGTATAGATTTAATCAGTAACAACAGCAACATAAACGGGGATAGGGCAAGAGTGGTATAAATACACGTTTTCTCTATGTTGCTGAAATTAAGTTAGTATCAATATAAGCCAAATTGTTATACATGTAAGATGTTAAATGTAATCTTCATGGTAATCAAAAAGAAACTAACTTTAAAAATTATACATAAAAGGAAAGAAGAAGGGAAACAAAATAGTTCAGCACACACAAAAAAACTATACACAAAAGAAGTCAGCACTGAGGAAAAATGAAAGAAAGTAGGTATAAGTTATGCAAAAATAAAAAGAAAATAACAAAATGGAAAACTAAATCCTCCTTTGGAAACAACCTAAATGTCTATCAACAGACGAATGGATAAACAAATTATGATACACGCACACAATGGAATACTATGCAACGATAAAGAACAATGATGAATCCGCAAAACATCTCACAACATGGATGAATCTAGAGGGCATTATGCTGAGTGAAATAAGTCAGTCACAAAAGGACAAATATTGTATGAGACCACTATTATAAGAACTCAAGGAAAGGTTTACACACAGAAAAAAAGCATTCTTTGATGGTTACAAGGGTGGGGAGAGAGGAGGAGGAGAAATCACTAACTAGATAGTAGACAAGTGTCAACTTCGGTGAAGGAAGGACAACACACAATACAGGGGAAGTCAGCACAACTGCACCAAGGCAAAAGCAAAGAAGTGCCCTAGACACATGCAAACACTTTGAGGGACCAAGTAGCTGGGGCTGGGGCCAGGGGACCATAGAGTTGGGGGACATACAGCTCAACTGGCATAACAAAGTTTATTAAGAAAATGTTCTACATCCCACTTTGGAGAGTGGCATCTGGGGTTTTAAGAGATTGCGAGCGGCCATCTAAGATAAATCTATTGGTCCCATCCCACCTGGAGCAAAGGAGAATGAAGAAAACCAAAGACACGTGGAAAATACTAGCCCAAAGGACTAAAGGACCAAATGAACCAGAAACTCCACCAACCTGAGACCGGAAGAACTAGATGGTGTCCAGCTACCACCAATGATCGCCCTGACAGGGAACACAACAGAGAGTCCCGGGCAGAGCAGGATAAAAATGTAAAACTGAATTCAAATTCACATAAGAAAACCAGACCTACTGGTCTAACACAGACTGTAGGAACTCCCAAAACTATGGCCCCCAGACACTCTGCTAACCCAGAACAGAAACCATTCTCGAAGCCCACTTTTCAGACAAAGATTTGACAGGCCTATAAAACAAAAAATAATACATGTGAGGAAAGTGTTTCTTAATTCAATCAAATATACAAAACCAAATGGGCAGCTCCTCTCCAAAAGCAGGATGAGAAGGCAGGAAGCGGCAGGAACTGGACAAACAGACAGAGGGAACCTGGGGTGGAAAGGGGGAGCGTGCTGTCACATTGTGGGGATTGCAACCAATGTCACAAAAAATATGTATATAAATTTTTGAATAAGAAATTAACTTCAGCTGTAAACTTTCACCAGAGCACAATAAAAAATTAAAAAACCTATGAGATGCAGTTAAGCAGTACTCAGAAGGAAATATATAGCAAGAAAACCTACATTAAAAAAGAAAAAAGATCTCAAACCAGTAACCTAACTCTACACCTTGAAAATCTAAAAAAGAGCAAACTAAATCTAAGGCTACCAGAACAAAGGAAATAATAAAGATCAGAGCAAAAATAAATGAAATACAAAATAGAAAAACACTAAAATCAACAAAACCAAAAGTTGTTTTTTTTTGAAAAGATCGATAAAATCCACAAACCTTTGGCTAGACTGACAAAGAAAAAGAGAGAGAAGGTGCAAACATCTAAAATTAGAAACAAGAGTGAGGACATTACAAATGACCCTACAGAAATAAAAAGGATAGTAAGGGAATACTATTAGCAGTTATATGCCAACAAATTAGATAACTTACAGGAAATGGACAGATTTCTTGAAGCACATAAACTCCCTACATTGACTCAAGAAGAAATATGGATCTCAGCAGACCACAAGAGACTGAATCATTAATTTAAATCCTTCCAACAAAGAAAAGTCCTGGACCAGATGGCTTCACTGGGGAATTCTACCAAACATTCACAGAAGTGACTCCAATCCTACCTAAACTTTTCCAAAAAATAGAAGACGAGGGAACACTTCCTAACTCATTCTATGACACGAGCATTACCCTGATACCACAGCCTGAAAAGGACACAAGAAAACTACAGACCAATATCTTGAATGAATATAGAAGCAAAAATACTCAACAGAATACTATCAAACCAAGTCAAAAATCATATTAAAAGGATTATATACCATGATCAAGTGGGATTTATCCCAGGAAAGCAAGGGTGGTTCAACACAAGAAAATCAATCATTGCAATACACCATATTAATAGAATAGAGGAATATAACCACATGATCATCTCAATCAATGCAGGAAAAGCTATTCACAAAATTCAACACCCTTTCATGATAAAAACACTCAACAAGATTGGAACGAAGGGAAATTTCTGAAGATATCAAAAGGCATTTATGAAAAACTCACAGCTAACATCATACTCAACAGAGAAAGACTGAAAGCTTTCTCGTTAACATAAGGATGCTCACTCTTGCCACTACTATTCAACATCATTCGGGAAATCCAAGCCAAAACAATGAGGCTAAGGGTGGGGGGAAAGGTATACAAATCAAGAGGAAGGAAGTAAAACTATCCCTTTTTGCAGACCACATGATCCTACACATAGAATACCCCAAAGATTCTACAAGAAAGCTATTAGATCTAATAAACGAATTCAGTAAAGTGCCAGAGCAAAAGGTCAACACAAATATCAATCAGGTTTCCATATATCGGCAATGAGCAAGAGCAAAAGGAAATTAAGGAAACATTATCATTTACAACAGAATCTAAAAGAATAAAGTACCTAAGATTTAACCAGGTAAGTGAAAGACTTTTAGACAGAAAAGTGTAAAACATTACTAAAAGAAATTAAAGAAGACCTAAATAAATGGAAGGATATTCCGTGTTCACGGTTTAGAAGCCTTAATATAGTTAAGATGACAATACTAACCAAAGCAATCTATGAATTTAATGCAAGCCCCATCAAAATTCCAACAGCCTTCTTTGCAGAAATAGAAAAGACAATCTTCAAATTTATATGGACG